ATCCTTTGTAAAATAACGTGTGTACTTGAGATACCCTTGAATCTAAATATATCTATCTCATTTATATGCTAAGAGATATTGCTTGTTAAACATAGCGGTCTGTCTGTGTTTATATTCGATACAAGTAAAAGATAATTAGTAATTATTTACATGGCAGTGATACCAGACCTCATAGGAATACCAGGACATCCGCATCCCTAAATCGACGTCTCCTTGGAGTACTTTATGACGTAGTCAGCATATATCTAAACACCTAGTCACCATACATCAATTAACATGCAATGTATCTCTACGTAATGCCTCATTATTCACATCCCTCCCATACTGGTTATATGCGATGCGGTATGTATTAGCTTAATGTATAATCCCGTCCGTATGTTTTAAGAGTGCTGACCGATTTCAGAAACATAACAACGGTCTTATAAATAGAGAATACAAGAGAATATATGTTTTATGTTGGTGAAGGTGAGGAAAGACGAAAGTGGCGAGCCTCTGATATATCTGTTCCGAGCCGAAATGCAGATTATATTTTAAGAAACCGGCTATGTATTCTATTTATTTTGTAACATTGATTGAAAATCAGACCATTGAAAAATTTAAACAGTTTTGTTGTTCAATCGTTGTCTTTCTGATGTTGACGTTACGCTGAATTTTGTCTGGTGACGTCCGCCAAAAATAATTGCTCGCGCGGAAACATAGTTGCCAATTTCGACGGATTTTACAGCAATTTTATGATTTTTTGCAAACAAACTTGTCATCACAACTTATGTAATTGTTGTTTCAACAGTTCTTTATATTTTTATTATGTAATATGTAAGTAAATTCATAAAGTAATCTTGTCGAATCAGTGCACGTGCTAAAATACAGCTGTTTTCTGTTACTGCCGAATACAACAAAAGTATATCTGGCAGATGTGTTCCGACATTGGCAGCTCCAGTTGCAGGTTAAATGATATTTACATAACGATGGAAGAGATACCATTTGCGTAAGAAAACATTATATATTCGGCTATGAGAAAATGAATTGTTCAAATTATCAATAAACATTATCAAAATTATTATAAGCAAATAATAAATTCATAAATATTGTGTTTATTGCATTTTAAATTGTTGATGATTTGTTTCTGCAATACGTAAACAACAACTATCATTTGCTGAATGATTGAGTGATGTGAACACGTGTGATGCCGACACCCAGATATCCCGAATCCCAAATGAGATTTTTTGAAGATCGTGCTAAATTCACACAAGTGAATGCACCTTTCATTGCAAGTTTGGAATTAGATGGTAAATAAGACTGCGTCATGCAGCTGTGTGATGCTAAGGGCCAAATATTTTTTAACTGAAGAAGGAACTCAAAACTGAAAAAAAGAAAATTTTAAGATGTCAAATTCTGGATGTAGGGTACACTAGTCCCACAATTCAATAAATTTCGTAATTGTCATGTATGTATGTAGGAAGAATGTCAATTACAGTAAAACAAGCTAAAGTTTTCCACAATTCGAATGAAATTAAACTTGGCATGTAGATTATGGCAAACTTCGGGCACTTAAGTGTCACACAGGAATGTCTACCACCTGCAACATCAAGGTTTGTATAAAAGTCACAAAGGGGAATAGCATTATCAATAGAAATTTATAATTAGATAGATAAGAGCCAAATGATAGTGTATCATACAGCTGTTTCATCCTTTTAAGACCCCGTGCTTCTAAGGGCCTAAATTTTGGAACTTAAACTGCTGGAGAAAATCAAAGCTGACCAAAAGAAATTTCAAAGTCCAGATGGGGAGGTGCACAAGCCCCATATTTCAATGATTAAAATATATACTTGGCACAGTTTAGCGAGGGGTTTTATACAATGTTACTTCCGATATGTGGTAAACCTAGACATGCTGCATGTTGCAACAAAGGCTTGTTTATCTATAATCAGTGACTGAATTATAATGTATGAGGGAGGCATTGGAGAAACCTAACTTACGGAACTGATTGAGACTCTAATAACGTCATTATTCCTGGGATATCTTGCTGACGAATTTAACCTGGATTAACCAGGTGGGTGATTACCGTGCGATATAATTGGAGAGTAATGTTGTAGTATATCCTGTCGTTATGAGAATATAGAATGAAGTGCATCCCAAATGTGTGACGTTAGTCTCAGTGGATTTTCCACTACAACAACTACTTACCTTACTTACTCAATAAGAATAACAAGATTCCCGTTATCAATATGGTAGTTAACGGTCAGTATGACAACCACATCGGCGTTGTTTAATAAATGCTAGTTATCCAATATACTAGCCAGTTTTTTTTTTAACAGTTATCTAAGACATCGTAAAATTTTCTTTTTGTAAGAGGAAATCTTGACTATAAAAAAACTATGTTATACATTTAATATGCCTTTTTTTAAAATAAGATTTGCGTATATCTGGAAATTGTATTGCAGCCATGGTTTATACTTTGCCTAATTAGTAAAAAGCCATTGGTTACCTCGATAGATACGCTTCGTCATGCGGCTTAAAATCCCATTACTTGCATGCACGATTGGCACAAGAAGGTAGCCAGCGGTGCTGACGAACAGCTGATCCCACCATTCCAGACTTTAACTAGGCGATATACATAGATCTACTTATTCCGTGATATCCTCTTCTTCTCATATTTCAATGCCTGACGCAAAACCCTATGATAACCACCTACTGCTATTTATCCAGAGGTCTTAGCACAGCAACCGTTTGATATCCTTAGCAACCCTTAGTTGTTTTTTTATGGTTTGGTCTCGGATTAACGTTTCATTTTGATCCCAAAGCCACAAAAATGTGAAGGTTCTGACCGTATTAGCATGCTTAACGTATGACGAACGGTTGATATTCGTGCTTTGTCTTCTCTGCCAACTTCTACACAATATACGTGCCTTGTTAATAAACATCAACTAATATACTAACAAATATAAATACTCCTCGTATTCTAAGCTATACAACATAATGAAGAACAGAAACAATGGGCGACGTTTACTTGTAGGGTTCATAACCACATGAACATCAGTTTAAGACTCATTGTAGTAACTGGTGATTATCTCACGAAACAACATACGGGAGGTCCGTCGAATGACATGAAACATAGATGTCAGTGCTAACGTTAACTGACGAATGGATTCAACATTTTTTTTTACAAATTTTGTAAAGATAGGTATTGAGTTTCTATTTACGGAGAAGGCGATGATGTCATAATGTAAGACCCTCTATTGCATTCATCTTAGCTTACCATTAAACTTGATCCGTTTATCAAACAACATGTCATCAGTTTCCGTATTCATATACGTGAAAATTACATAACATCTGTGTATCAATTATAGGCTCCTTCCCAGTAATGACTTTGTTAAATAGTCATGTTTAACAGTGAAAGCGGTATATTGTAAGCTTACGGGGCTGCCGCACAACATTGCAATGAGTGTTGCATTTGGCAGCAAATGCATGGGATAAAGGAACAGTTTGCCAATCAGTTGAGGTTTTCAAGACCTACGATACTGGGATTAGATTTTTCATAATATATTCCTTAAAGCAAGATATTTTGTTGGTGTCCAATTTTTGTCCAAGATATGTAACTTTTTGCAAACTTCAACTTCCTTTCGAAATTCAATCAACGTCACACAGACATACTAATATGTATATTCGTCAAAGATATCAGCGTGTTTCATGAATCAATGTCTTTTAACATCAGAATTTGTAAAACATAGTTTTGTAAATATTCTGACAACAAACGTTATATAATTCAATTCAGTATTACCGTTTCAACATATTTCCTTCCATCTGTCTGAATAAGTTGTTCTGCTAAATTCGCTGTTTCCTTGTTTGAAATATGAGAGAAGTTTTTCACTGTCACAGCTATATGTTTTTACAAGATTTCAACTTGAGAATATATATGTATCAAAGCAGCAAAGGCCACACAGTATGTTTCCATATAAATGTGCGAACTTTACCTAACAGTCTGCTAAACTTAGTTAGATGGATGTATTATAATCACTTTCACCATATTATCGGCTGAAACGTTGTGAAATGCAGTGCTCCGGTTTCATTTCGTCTTAGTACTTTTTATATGGATCGGTTGGGATTTCAGCAAAGCTCCGTGATGTTAATGTTTAATTACATAGTAACATTAGCGTTAAGTTTTTATGTCTATGATATTATACACAGTAATGTGGAGTATTCCTTTTTTTGTTACTATAGTAACGTGAAGTGTTACTGTATATGTTACTATGGTAATTTGGAATGCTACTTTTTATGTTACTATAGTAACGTGGAGTGTTACTGTAAGTGTTACTAAAGTAATATGAAGTGTTACTATATATGTTACTAAAGTAATGTGGAGTGTTACTTTATGTGTTAGTACAATAATGTGGAGTGTTAAAGTTCAGGTATACTATTTTGCATGTTGAGCATGAATCATACGGTCCAGAATTAAATCCGATATATAAAATATATTCGCCGTTATGTACAGACTACATGTCAAATACAGCGGCGATGCTAGCACTTATATATCTATATTAAGGTGATCTGGTCATGTTAGCAACTTAAAAGTTGTGTGCATTTGTTTAATTACACCTGCACCATTAACACGTATTTGTAGTTTGATACTTTTATTGTCAAGTACTTTAGCAATGCCTGTATTTGTGTCTGGTGTATATCATCAGTGTTTTAACGCATCCCAGTCATGCAAGGATATGTGTCTGGTGTATACTTATCTGTGTGTCGATTACACTATTGTTGTTTTTAAATCTTTTAGAAACGGTTCTTAATATCAATGCTAATCAAATTTTCAGTCCCAAGGAGAAATCTTAACATGTTTCATATTTGCTGCGATTTTTCAATTTTCAAATTAACGGAAATGAAAGAAACACGAATAAGTTGTTATATATATAGATATAACAATTGAAATGTTCTTCGCTGTTGTTTACCTTTGTTTTGACTTTTCGCGTTTATTATTCATATATCATTGTTGTATGTTCCAGGTATCGACGGAGACTTGAGCGAGACAGATATTACACTACGTCCATTGATTACAATACACTCAACAGTATGACGAACCAAACCTCAACTACTGGCGGCAAGTTAGCCCAAGAGATTAACGACGAATTTCTCACATGCAAGATTTGTCTTGAAGGATTCAAGAACCCGAAGTGCTTAGATTGTCTGCATACATTTTGTGAGCAATGTATCGACAATCACATCATGTCGGAATGTACGTATAAGAAATACAGCGATTATCGGGAATTTACCTGCCCTTTGTGCCGGAAGCGGACTCAACTTCCGCTAGGGGGCGTTAAGAAGTTGCCTGACAACTTTCTGGTATCGAGCTTAGGAGAGGTGGTGGCAAGACAGAAACCATCAAAATTTCCTTTTTGTGACATCTGTAAACTTGTTAATAGAAAGCATCGTGAGGCTTCATCTAAATGCCTGGACTGTAACAAACTGCTGTGTAAAAACTGTGTGGAATTACACCGTGAAACTAAAGTCACAAAGAATCACAGCATATTTGATGTAGATATAGAAAAAGATATTGAATGTAAGGAGCACCAAGATGAGGTTGTCAGGTTCTATTGTGAACCATGTGAGGCATGTATCTGTGTTCTGTGTACCTTCAATGAGCACAAAGACCACGAAATCTCTCAATTTTCGGATGCCGTAGAAAAGTATAAGGAAAGTATTCAAAAGCTCTTAAACTGTTGTAAATCCAAACTAGAGGTCTACGATCGTCAGCTTCTCGCTCTTACTGCTTGTGAGGCTACCATCAAAACAGCTGAACAGAAGATCCGTGACACTGCTATTCAGTTCATATCTGACATTAGAAATAGAGAAAAGCAACTTATAGATGATTTGCATTTTGAATATGGACCAATGGTTATGGATTATGTCAACAAACGCAGCGACCTCCAAGTCAATGTTGACAGCCTTAAAAGTACATGCAGTTTGACAGAGCTTGTACTTAAAGGAAAGGATATAGAACTTCTTCTCTTGAAGAAACAGGTCCAGGAAAAATTGTCGTGTCTTGCAGAAATTGAATTGAAAGATCTACCAAACACCGTTTTGAAGGAAATACATTTCGCTGCCGGCAATCTTGATATGGGTCATCTTCAAGATTCAGAAAAACCGGTTGTTTCGAAACCACAAAGATCTTACTCTGGGGCTGCACCTACGATAGCGCCTAAAGTCAGTACCAGCACTGTGACTACGCAGACAGATGAGATAGAAGAGGAGAAAGCGGCCCCAAAACCGGACATGACTCATCAATACATCCAAACTGTGGTGTATGGCAGTGCTAGCAATAACTATGACTCCAAGTCCACGGAAACTGAGCAGGTTGAAACTATGGAGAAAGGGGTAAACACCAGATCTCGAAGTCTTCAAAGTCTGACGTCACAACTACAGAGGACAAACTCTGAAGACGTAGCCAGTTCAGAAGCTACAAGTCCAGATCCGGTGACTTCATCAGGACAGGAAGCTCGAAGAAATCGTCGCCGCCGGGAGAGACAGAAGGTTGAGGTTTCGTCCCGGCCCACGACAAACAACCCATCTAATACCATGTTAGTAATGGCATCTGATAATGGTGGCCCCCTCCTCTCCTATAGTAGTAGTATTGAGGAGCATTTTTACTCTCCTGAAGGTAGCATTAATGAAACATGAACACCATGGTCAGCAGTCAGTCGGTAAACTGATAGATGTATCAGTGAAACGATTCAGTGCGGTAACTAGGTCCAGTAGAGTTACTCTCTTGGTAGATGAGAGAAAACATAAACTAGACATAAAATCACTGAATATTTGACATGCAACTATAGCAAAAGTTTTAATAGTAAACAGTTATATTTAAATAGATTATCAAACACAAATTTAAAAAGTAGAGAGTGGACCTATAAATAGACACTAAGTGAAGAAAAGGGAAGAAATAGCAACTCGCAAATAGAACAAGAGTGTTAAAGTATGTGGTAGACATCAGCAAATAGCAAGGTCTCTTGATAGCTATGGCAATGAAATGCATTGCAGACCTGTTTACGGTTAGAAAAACACTAATAAAGATTAGGAATTAGGATTGAACACAAATGAAGTAGACAGAAGATCTTAAAAGAGACGAGATATGATGAAAAAGGTACGAATTGCTGATCTATAAACGAATGAAGTTTAAGGAAAGTGATCACGTTTTGAACATATACTGATTACTTACATATCTATGTGAAAGTCGACAATACACAAGAAACACATTTAAACCGGTGGAAAATATGGAGATGTTAATATATATATAGGATATAAATTCTTTCAGTCTGTTCATTCTGCAGGGACATAGAATGTTGATGTAATATTATAATTTATAAGATAGAAATGTCTGTCCTTTGAATACAGAAATAAGCATGTACGTTAGCTAAAAATAAATGTATAATAGGCGATAAGGTATGATGTGCCTTTCGAACTACTTTTCTAGCAATAATAGTTAGTTTATGCTGAAATCTGTCTGGATTTAAGAAACTATACTTATTATATATATATATTCAGAAAAAATCGTTATGAAAAAAACACTTTTCGTATCACAGAAAGTTGGTGCATCGATGCTGAAGTAAACAACTTGATAACACAGTGCCTTAAAATTTGAAGAACAGAAAGTTATAAATATAATGGTAAAACTTTTTTTATAAAGCAACTAAAGAGCCTCTTGTATCCATGGCAATACAAACTGCTCTGTAAATAGACAATACTTTAATATAATTAAGTATTAAGACAATTTTTTTCCAATTATATTGTTAATTTGATATTATATTCCTGTTCATTGGATTGTCGCACTCACTTTTGAATTCACCAATTGTAGTTTGTTTTAATTTACTTAAATTTTATTTTTAAATCATTTTAATTTAAACGTTTAGGTATGGTTTGAAGTACACATCATCTTGATTTGCTTGATTTTCAACTTCCGATTGTAATAATCAAAAACATAACAAATGTAAGTTTCATTTGTTTAACCCATTTTTCGAAATGTGAACTTGCTTGATTCATACATGCCTTTTTCAGTTGATTGATTTGGCGTTTCCATTTGTAAGCGACAGTTAAGCTTTCTCTCCTTTCAGACTCAATGGTTCTCCACGCCTCGGTGTTGTTTTGTTCGTGTCCGTAGTTTGGCAGCGTGTTTATAACACAGTAATAGAAATCATTTTAGACATAAACACTTATGCTCAGTATCTAATGTACCACCACTGATAGTTTCGATCCGGTATGAGCAAATTTTAAGCATCCAGTATTTAACAGATTCACCGAAATTAATAACGGAAATGTGGTTATATATTTAGCATCAGAAATTATAATAAGATATCTATTGCTACTAAATCTTCATTTCCTATAGACTTTTCATTCTATCTAATCTTCATGTGAATCTGAATCAATCTTACTAGTGTGATCATCATTTCCATATGTCTAACGATTCATTTTGTAAGCTGCTTGCTATTGGTCCCTGCTACTTTTTTCCTAGAACAGTGAATGTGATTGGCTTATAATTCTAGATTTAAAACATTAGCTAAAAAATAAACCAATTCGTTTCTAATAGTCCGGCCTTGGAATGAAACTGCTTGAGCCCCAGCATCGATAATCATACTGGACTATCTCGAACAGACTCTTAACTGGCCTAGAGGGGATTCTGAGTTGTTGATTTGATAAGGTCCATGAAGTTTTTATTTAGTTTTAATATGTAAGAATTGAACGCACATCAATGTATTCAATTTCAATACATTATCAAGATATGAAGAGCTCTGAAGGATGCTATTTATAATTCCCAATTCACTAATTGATAATAACCTGGAAAATGATAGTTTACGTAAGTTAGTTATGTATTAATGTCAATTTGTAAGTAATTCCCGTGTAATGTAAACTTATCAATTACAACAGTATAATTATAAAAGAAGTTTCTCCCCGTAGATATTGTGTATGTAATTATCGTTAATTAACTGTGTAACCTTAATCGTATATATATATAAGTCGTGTCATCATATCATTCCACTCGGTATATATAGCACTTTAATATATGATGAAAATAGTTGACGTTATCCTTACCAACACAATGCCCATAAATAATGAAAAAATGCCATTCACTATATATTTCGCCCTACTAACCCATATCGTCACCTGTTTGTCTATATCTGTCTTATCTTTGATGTTTGAAATGTTATCTGTGTGTGTATGTATTGTATACTGGAAAGTGTTCAAATGTGCCCATTATTCTAAACAGATCCACAGGAAAGCAAAATTGCATTTGCGTCCTTTTGTCCTTATTAACGAATGTGGTGTTCAATTTCGTAATGAATAGGAAATTCTAATTACTAATATTACAATGTTTCCGGGTCGACCATGAAATTAATTACAAGCATTAGATTAATATATATTTAACAGGGTGAGCGTTTTCCAGTGTACATTATTGTACTGTCATCTACAAAGGAACCTTGGTTATAGTTTAATTACTTTTTCCTTCAATTTTCTCGGAAGATTGCAGAATAAAAGTAAATATTGTGTTTGTAAATCATAACTTAAAAAAAATCGTAATAACTTGTTTGCTTTACCTGGTTCCAATGTATACTTGTATTTTAACTAGATTACTAGTTACAATGTACACGATGCACATTCTACATAAGATATGTATATGACATTCTGTTGAATATCTTTCTATATTACAAATGAGTACATATTGTGTTACGTATTTCAATATTTTTGTACATATGATATATATATACATTTCATATATATGTTAATGTATTATACATTTTGAGAATATATATATATATATAGTTATCAAAATTATTTGTCCATTTATAGCTATTGTTAGCTTGAAAACACCAAACATAGCTGTATTATATAATCTATATACCTTTTGTATTTGGTTATTATATGAAGGAAGGAAATTATTAACTTTAATGGTTTTTTTTTTTTTTTTTTTGTTTTTGTTTATGAATGAATTCTAGCGCTGAAAATGTAAAAAAAAAAAACTCTCATTGATTATTTTCAAGTCAATTTGGATACATTTTTTCTAATTCATATTATTTATTCATTCATTTATTTCTAATTAATTTATTTTTATTTATTTTTTTCTTATTATTGTTATCAGTTGATAGAAAACAAAAGGACCCAGTTTCATAAGAAAAAATCTGTTTTCGGAATATAAGAAGTAAAATACAGAAAGGCTTCAAAATCAGTATGAAGCATTTGTGTTTGTTTTGTGAATAATATGGTAATAATAACTAGAGACTAGAACTTACTGTCCGTCTGTTTTTACTTCCAGGTGTATGCAGTAGAAAACCCGACTTATACCAGATATATACCAAGATAGCTAGGATCACTGTCGCCATGGATCTGTCCCGAACTTCAAACTTAATCCCAAAGCGAGGTTGCGGCACGTGGCTCTAGAACGTCTGAGACCAACGTAAATTTTGACCTTCAAGATGGCGGCGATGACCTTGCATGGAATAGGCTGGAGTTGACGGTCGTTATTACACACTTGGCGTCGACAGAAATATCATGACGACATGCTGAGTAATGAAGTGTTTATGTAACGGCCGGTAACTCCAGACTAGATATATATTACGTGTATGACCAAACTGCATTTTCAGGTCTCAATTTGATTTTGCTTTCGTTGAAAATCTAGTATATTTCTGTTTAAAAGCTACTGAGCGAAACGTGCTTTTTTGATATGCCCCTCAACTATATTAGATAGAAATCATATATAGTACACCTACAGCAAGCTTGAATGGCAAAGTCCAGTTTGTTTAAACTGCATAGAGAAGACAAGATGGCGTCAAAGTTTATTTGGGAACAGACGTTCGGAGCATGTCGTTTTTCATTATTTTGTATTTAAGATGTCACTAGTTATACTTATTATTTCATACTTAACATACGTGCTATTTAATGGGACAGATCCGAGACCCTAACCGTCATTATCCAGCATGATTTTCCTGATAATTCATTCATCTTTTTCTGCCTCTTTTACCTCATTTGTTTTGAGATTTTAATTGGATATAGATTTCACCACTTTACATAGATAATGTATTGATATATTCGGTCAACTCACCTATCCAATAAAATATCTGTGATGAAAAGTGTTTAAGTGCGATTGTATTATGTTAATCGATCGTTTTGCACTAAATATACAACTGTGTAGTCTTAAACAGTCTAAAATGATACTATAAAAGTTTAACATTTACACTTAACTATTCATCTCGATAATGTCCTAATTCACCGAAATTAATATGAAACTCATTCAGACTAAATCACTTAAATATGGCCTCAAGGCTTACATTTGTTTATCAATAACATCTAGTATAACTAGGTATACAATACGCATGTCCATAACACAGCTGCATGTCAAATAGATTAAGTATCACGTGACGTATCAAACAATAGGAGCCGACTGGACGATCGAAGAATAAAGATAAGATTGCATCTTTGCCAGACGAATCTTTTTGCCATGCATGACTGCATACTTACTTTGAACAGTATAATGGATATGCTATGTGATATAATCCGTAGATCATTTACTCTGTAGAGTCATCATAGCGACGCGACAATGCATGCTTTCTTTTTATTATGTATACTACTTAAATATCGTGAAAAGGTATCATTTTGTTACATTTCGAAAATCCATCCTAAAGATATATAGAATGGACATGTTTCCGGGACTGAAAAAATGTATGAAACTTTGCGTGGACTTTACATGTGTACAACTTACCTGTATTTCTGGAACTGAATGAAGCCATTTATCGTTCATTCCACATTTTTACCTGGAACTGGTGTACCTGTTTCTCAGTTGTCGCCCTTGGTGTTCGAAGAAGAAGAAGGAGTATATGAAAGTTGTATACAAAGTGACATTAGTACGTCGTGAAGAAATATTATCGGATATTTTTAACATTGGTAATATATGAAGTCAGTAGTATGTTTATGGAATCAGACATGTTACTCAATACACAGTGTTATCCATACCACATGCCTGGTCGTATTTCTTTATTTCGAATATAGCAGAAAACACATATAAAAAACTTCAAAATGGAATCACAATGAAATCAACTCAACTCAACTCAACTCAACGAAAATGAAATTATTTGCTGAAAGTGATCAGTTTATATCAATGAATACCGAAAATATGTTTAATACTTGTTTGAAGTGTGTTCTGAAATAATCGTTATGTGACGCAATTTTTTCATTGGATGCTTTCCATAATCTAATCCCGGTCATAGTCATGATTTCCGACGCCAGCCAAAGGTGACGGCCATCTTTCTTGCTGAGACAGATTATCGACATCTACTTTAGTTATTTAGTATAAAGACAAGCTAAAATGTGTCAACAAAATGTGGATAATAAAACGTAATATTCTATATGACATATTCTTATCGGTGCTGTGCTGTCAGAATGTGCCGATAAAGACAAATAGTTACACTAGGTGTTATTATCAACTTCAGTTATGATATCGCTGTTAAATAAAACCATGTTTCATGGTATTTTCTCTTATCTTCATGTTTCTATAACGAATGAAGCATGAATCCCAACCTCCAATTGAAAGAAACGTACTGGCAAATTAGGATCTATGTGCGATGTTTCTCCCCGTAGACTGTTGTTTTATCAATATGTTTAGCGAACAAATACCTTTACCATTCAGAGATAGATATGATAATTTTAGAGCATGTACACCAGGAATCAATATAAACAACAATTTTGATAGATAAACCACGTATATAAACATTTTAAGTCTTTTCCAACGTTTTAATCTATAATATGACCCAAATATATCAACAACTTTACCAAACTGTCATCCAATGTTAAAAGGGGCGTTTTAATTGGCTAAAAAACATTCGAGGGACAGTTTCCAAGAAAAGTCTTAGTTTGTGTTGTATTTCGTTGATATTGCAGTATATACATCACTTTTTTCACTCAAATCATTTCAGAATGGTTATAATATGCTTATTTTCATTTTGGTTTTTAAAACGAGACGTGTTAAACCGACAACATTCATTATCTAATCTCCAGTATATGCATTAAGATAAACATACTACCCCCTAAGCAATATTGAAAACATTCGAGGGACAGTTTCCAAGAAAAGTCTTAGTTTGTGTTGTATTTCGTTGATATTGCAGTATATACATCACTTTTTTCACTCAAATCATTTCAGAATGGTTATAATATGCTTATTTTCATTTTGGTTTTTAAAACGAGACGTGTTAAACCGACAACATTCATTATCTAATCTCCAGTATATGCATTAAGATAAACATACTACCCCCTAAGCAATATTGATTTTTTTTCTTTTCCCTAAAGAATATCAAAACTGATTGATTTCTTCTCTAAAAAGGCATAACTGATTTTATTCAAAAGTATATTAATAAGGATTGCTCTCATCTAAACAATAGAAAACTTGATTGGTTTCCTCTGAAGATCGGAGACATTGTGAATCGAATATTGATTCTATTTTCATCGTTTGCTTACCGGATACGTGTTCCATAACATAACATAAATCAACGAAAATATTTTGTGATTTCATACACTTTCTTTCTATTTGAATAAACAGTTGTATGCGTAAGAATACAAAAGAATAAACATAATATGAAATGCGGTGTTTTGTCAGAAGTAAGATTAAAGGACGACAACTCTAAGTGACTTAGATGCTTTCCTATATATTGTGAAATACAGCACTTCCTCATTTACCCATCTACGAACAAACCAGTTGTGTATCACGCTAACAGTAATCCAGGAAACAATGAATTGACGTAATTGTATCATGTCATGCTATTGTAAAGTGCTTCTTCCAATCGTCACTAGAAGGGAAAAGAAATTTGAGGCCCAAAATAATACATGCGTTTATGATATAATTCAATTATATATTTACATTTCATGTACAATAAACAAACAATTTCAAACTAAATATATACATCACTAGAATCATACAGCAGATAAAATGAACATGTTCATGATCGTGTTTTTTAAAGACATTATAATACTAGCAAACATGAAACAATAAACATTTAATTTCCAAATAGTATAATTACAGGTATATAGTAATAAACGTTTTGTCAGCATAAATGGTCTGTGGAATTTACACATCCTATTGAATGATAGATAAAAAAAATCTAAGATAAGCACCTTATCTACTAAGTGTCTCAACCGATCACATTGCACTGTTTATTTGGTAATAACATTAGGTACACTCGGATACTAAAGTCAGCGTCTACAACAGTAAGACTAAATGTATCGTATGCTGAAAAATTTGATCTTCTAGACCGTTCAGAACACACAATGCTTGGCGTCATTGGTGTACTTATAACACGTTCGAGGTGTCGATATTTTTCTTCGCAATACCAAACATGAAGATTTCTTGTGAATCCTTTCACGGCCAGTGGGAAACCAATTAGCATGATGACATTTAATCTTATCAGTGGTCATTTTTAATTCATCAGAATGGAAGTATATAACAAGTACAGGTATACACAATATGATTTATCAATTCAGTTCCCAGCTCTGATACTAGTATATGATATAATTGGCCTGTTATCCATAGAATTCGCATATGGTCAAGCAAAATGGATGGCGGCTCTGCTTGATTTTGTCACAGTTTTGTTTTAGAAAAAAAAACACTTAAAGGAAAAATGTACACGCAGACTCCTGACAAAGTACAAGGCGAATAAGATCAGATGTTCTAAAAGAGTAAGTCTCTTCTGCTTCATCGACGACCACCGCCATGTAAACATTGGCCAATCCAAGTAAGCAATGTCACGTTCTCCAATGAGGACAAGATATATAACAACGGGACCAACAGGAAAACTAACGAGAATCAAACACGTCCAGTATCGTACCTCACAAAAAACGGGGAAGGATTACGGTCAACATACATAACTATGTCGATCGTAAACCTTCCCCTTAAATTTATGAACCTACATCATTTGAAAACCCTGTGTTATGAGTTTGTCCATCAGTTTACGACTTCTTGCAGGCAAATCGTGATCATGGGAACAGAATATCGAATCAACTGCGATATGTAAATACTGTAGGTTGGGGATGGAGGTAGGTTGCTTTTTAGTTTTCTGGAGTGATGTGATTAAATGTATCTTACAGGTGCTATTCACTTGTGTGTGTTTTGTACAATTTTATAAATCCGTTTTTTAATCTCATACGGGATTTATGAAACTTGACAAGGCCAGAAAAAAATATAATCTTCGTTTCAAAAAATGGAAACTCATTTGTAGTCATATTTATAAACTATTTTTGAATTATTATATTTACGATCAGTTAGATCACGTTGTATTAACTATCAATAAATCAGCAAGGAGACTATGGATAATGACTTCAACTTAGGTTCAAGCCACATGAGATGAAATACGCATGTTTATTTGAAATTAACATTTGTGATGAACAACCTTCGGGAATCAGAAAGGAACCGACGCGGAAATATATTGATTATGGGAAATAAGTTAGTATGTTTCTTGTTTGTTTATTGAGGGTATACGATACAATATTGAATTAACTGCCCTGGCACATCGCTTTGCTTTCCACAATTAAAATGCATCTTAATATCTCCTGGGAACTCCAGAGTTTCATTAAATACTTTTCAGACATCGATAATTGATGTACAATTTTGATGCGATTTTCTAACTAGCCAAGAGCACGCTTATCAGTCTTCCGTAGTAAATACATTCATGACGTTCAAATGATTTTGTTTTCAACTCTTATCTTTTTCAGAAAAAAGTAAGGAACTTGTACTAAACAGAGCTGTCAATTAAATCCATCGTGACAATTTTCTATATATAGTAACATCACTACCTCCCCAACCTATGGTGTTTGCATGTTGCATTTCATTCAATATTCAAGTGGCTATTCTCAATATTACGATTTTCGAACGAAATATCGGCAACTGACAAACTCACAGCAAAAGGTTTCGATTGATGTAAGTTATTGGAGATTATACGGAAGTTTAATTGTCTCCATCATTACACAAAGACGTTGTAGTACATTCCCTTGTGTGATATGAAGTTATGTGGATTTGTTAAATGCTAGTTAGAGTGGCACATTTACTTTTATCATTAGGGAAGTTGACGTTACGTTTCTTCCATCACATTCAACAACAAAATATTTTGATAGTAAACATTTGTTGGTGTCTTGTTACAAAGTTGCAGTTTCTATAAATATCAACGTAAGTCAAATACTATCATTTATGTTTATTTATGAAAGCAGAACCTACAATATGTGACTGGAGAAATTAAAAGTTATCTTCGTAGAGATATGTCTGTAATGATGGCATCCAGCTAAGACCGGTCGTAAGGAGGAGAAAACAAATCAATACTGCTGACGTATACACAAAAGGACAATTCTGCAGTGATACTTATTTTATCAAATATTGCCACACAGCCAGCACATACAACAATGATAAACCAGAACAGATGATAATGCATTCTCTGTGGCAGTTTCAATAATAGGCATTAGTCAATATATTTTGACAGAATGGACAAAAGCATCTATCGTTAGTCACCCAATACCGGAAACTGATCCGTCAAAACGTATGTATAGTGTAGTAAAAGGACAGTATATCATTTCATGCAGAAAACTGTGAACTCCTATTGAAATGAAAGCTTCTGTATGAAGTGGACTTTTAAAACAAGAAAAATGTTGCATATGGATTAATGAAATAGGAAACAAGTTGTGATATATTTGTATAGTTTTTTCCTGAAGTAAACAAAAGAACTGTCAGCCGCTATCTTGAAGGCGTTTATTTATGCTGTGAAAAACTAAGCATCAAATATGTAAAACCAAAATTCGGGTCTCCTCTATGACAATACCAAGAATCGGATGGATACATCCTGCAGACATTTGGGTGATCGTAAAACACTTAGAATTGCCTTGTCAAAATGAAGAGAGGAGAATGGACTCATATTGATGTGAACAGATGTAATCGCCACAAGCAATGTTTATAATGGAATTTTTGTCAAGTCGACGTTTTACTTTGGAATACAGTATATATTTTCAGCTGTGACTTACAGTAGTTTTACCGACTTTGAAAAGGGGTATTTATATCTATTAAATGGTATGATGTAGCTGTGTTATCTACTTTTCCAAATGGCTCCAGTAGTTGGGTCGCTCTTTCCCAAAGGGAACAGTAATGCTAAATATCTTGTTATATGATACATTGTTTTTTGCTGAATATTTGCTATGGAAAATCATATCAATACAGAATATTTCTTAAATATAATGTAGGTAAAATATAGTGACAATTTGCTACAGAATATAACAGATTAGTCAACTTTGATTTTGACTTTCCGCAGTAAAAATGTTTTACTACATAGTAGTTGGCTGGAGATTTGTGTGGACTATTTACATGTCAACAGTCGTTAAGTGGATATCCTGATCTGATGAAAGTGAGATGACTCGAAAATGATCCAAACGTTTAATTTCGTCGCTGTATAAATAAAGACCGGATGTATTCTGATTAAAAAAAGACTATTTAAATGCATTTGAAGAAACATGATTTTATGCCAGATGAAAAAATAAAGATAAATTTAAACGTTAAATCTAACCGTTAATACATATCGACTAATCAACTCAAATAGGATTTCAAAATCAATTTCTATAAAATCGCCTTAATCAGGATTAGGTAAAAATGTCCTAATGTAACAATTAGCAATAAGCGCAAAAATGAAAAAAAAAAAACATATGAAAGAGGAAAAAATACATTATTATTGATAATGTTATCAGTCAATTCCAATGGGATTTAAGTAAAGCAATCCCTTCCGCAAAATGAAGAGTTAGCCTAATACATGAATAGTTTCAATAGGAAAGGTAATTAGGGATACATTTCAATCGATACTGCTATCTCCAGGACTTGTTCACACTCCACTCCGAGATTAATCGGAAATGCGGTATTAGAGCATGCATGAAGGTTTTATAATGATCACTAAATGTGGTTTTTTGTGAAGCCTATGGCTAGATTTTACATTAGTGTAATGTAGGGTTTTTTCTCTTCTCTCTGAATGAGAACAATTTTTCTTGTAGGTTATAGATGAACGGTTACAATTTGGAAAATTGTAGGATTATTATAATCTATAATGGCTGATGGCCATCGGTATAGGTTAGTGGTGATAACGGAGGTAAATGTCAAAACCATTTCCAATTCACCATACCATACAGATAAATATAGTATAGGTCATCGACATCACACGATTTGTATAAAGAGTTGATATGCTGTTGTTATTGAAAATGTTGGAGGTCTAATATACACTTACTAATACCAGTGAGCAGAAACATAATTTATTCATGACTTTAAAATTGTTAATTGCATTTGGCGTTGGTTCCATTTTGTCACATAACGTTATTTGACCATGAATGCGTCGATTTACAAATTACATTTTCTCCTCAAAGTATGAATAGTTTATAAGCTGTGTTGGTAAACAGATGAAAACATATTCTGTGTACGAGGTCCCCAAACAGTACGTTCGAATGTCCATACTGTCAGCGGGATGATTAGATGTAACCGATAATAACGGAAATGCAATATGTGCCTCCTAGGAGTTGTTTAGTGTTGTGTCAACTGCTTAGTGATGGGCGACCTAGTAACAAGCGTATATCGAGATGTGAACATTTGCAATTGAGTGGAAGTTGAGTGAAAGCTGGCGCCAGATCTGACAAAACTGGATGCGTCATCTCCAGGTAAGGTTTAATAGATTTAAAAACTGAATTTCACCAACAGAAATTTGAACATAAACATGTAAGTGTAAAGTGATCCTTCGAACAAGAATTTTTCTTAGATGAGATTTTGTTGTATTTCTATTCTATCAAATATGCACAGAAATCATTGTCATACTTTCACATAGAGTGTGTATTTATACGAATGTATGTCTCCTATATTGCATGGCTATCTATCGTTAAAAAAGAAGTCATAAGTTTTATTTGTATGATATGAAATTTGCTGCAATCATAATATTGTTCACAACTAGCTATTCTAAGCTATATCACCATCAACTCGTTTACAACATTTTATCGCATGATGGATAAGAGAGGATTACTCTGAAATTCCAATTTGATATAATTTGAGACTTCATTCAATAATGAAGAAAGTACCATCAACCAACGGAAATGGTTATATCATAAATTAGGCTCATACAGAGTCTTCTATATTAGATCTTGTCTACGAAACGATGCTCACTACTATCAAATTGTGTTTTTCAACCAAGAATGTATTCTCTCATACATCTAGAAATTGATAAAGGAAACATTAATCGACCCGAAGGAAGTGTCATTATTTGTGTATTACTGGCCAGTAAAAAATAGATGATAAAGGTTTTCTTGCCGATCTTGCATTTTTGCTATTGACTACCTAAAAAGGTTTCAACAGCATTTTACATTTTCACCATACAATAGATGGCGTCTGCTGATACAGTGTTATGTTTTATTGTTTTTTCAACTTGTATTGATACCGAGTACTAGAGTTAATGCCACACTACACGACATGCGAGTGATTAGCATGTCAATAATTATATATACATATTCTGTCTATTCCTGCTGGTATTACATAATACTTCAAAGTTCAATGTCCTGCTTTCGCTTCTTCTATAGAACAAATACCTCTAAATAATTAATCCTTGCTTTATGTGCATTTTATTGCATCGGAGGAAGTTGGTTTACTATTGCACAGAATTTTTTTTTCTTTGCGGCAGAATCGACACCATCGAAATGGCATCATATTCGAGGCCAGCACCAATTGCCACTCATGAGGAATTTTCAGAGTGTGATATCCATTCCTTGGGGGAACCAGATAGCGTTTCAAACCCAGACATATTAGAAATAGGAAACAACAATGGCGATGTTCCAAATGCCTCTGATCAAAACTCCAATACACCATACGGTTCAATCGCCACACTCTATGTTTCGAAGCAAAACATGTCTCGTGTCGAATACACAAAAGATGAAAATCATATTCCAAATGAAGAGAAAGAAGAAGAAGATAGCAACAGCAGGACAGGTAACAGACATTTCTTGCGATCAAGTTCTCACGTCAGTCAGAGTAAATCCCCCAAAGGGAGTTTTATATACTCTTGTGAAGGGAGTCCACTAAGACTTGGACCTGAGAACACCATTCTAGGCTATGTTGATAAGCGTTGCAGAGACTGTGACACTTCATCACACGAACAAGGTCAACATTCTTCGGAGACTTTGTTTTTAGACGATTTATATGACCATAACTCAAAAATGAATTCCACAAAAGATGTTACAGTAGAAAGTCTTGTTGTTTTTGACACTGTCACTGGGCAAAGACTTCTTCCTGATGGCTGTGAACAACAATCATCTCCCAATGAAGACAGACATGATACTAATGCTATCGACAAGAACGATGACGTCGATGATGGAAAAAGCAAATTACAGAATACATGTATTTTAGTGTGTAAAAGAATATTTGTGTTTTCAGTCTCTAATGTAGGCTTAGCTTGTATCGTAATTGGATATGCAATATTAGGGGCAATAATTTTCCAGAATCTTGAGGCATGGAATGAAAAGAAAATACGATCTTCTATCAGCGAAATTCGTTCAGCACGAATGGAAGAAATAAGAGATATAGTCAATAAATTACATCATCTGCAAAAGAGAGCGTGGACGAATACCGCTGATGAGATCATGATCAAATTCCAGCGTGAACTTTATACAAAGACGAAGGAACAAGGCTGGAATGGCGTGGATGACATGGTAGAAGAAGAACATGACTGGACATTCGTTGGAGCTCTCCTATACTCAGTTACAGTAATAACTACAATTGGTAAGTAGAGGAGTAACTAAGAAAATTTTGTCCTCGGTTTCATAATATCTTTCATTAAAAATTCTTCTAAATTCTTACAAATGTTTTATGATTTATAAAGACTTTATGTTTAGGTTTGAAGAAAAGAATTTAATTCATCCATTACATTTTTCACTTTTATACACGCAACACAGAAATATAGGCATAACGTCTTGCATGTACTGAGGCATTCCCTAAAAAGGCAAGCCAAAACAGTATATCCCTTGATTTCAGTTTGCTTCTTTATCAAATTTAAATGATATTTAAATGATGTAACAAAAATTAATAAGCCATTTCTTATTGATGTAGACAGTGCTATTTCAATATTCATCATTAATCATTTAATATTGATACTTGTCAAAGTTCTGCATCTGTAATTCTACATTAAAAGAAAAGAAAAAGGCATTTAAGGAGTAGAAACAGTCAACCGCAAAATTAATGCTTATAACACAGCCAGTAGAAAATTTGAGCGTGACGTTTCGATGTCAGCACTGTCACCTCCATCAGACAAATAGAAAATGTGAAGCGTATTAGCAATGACGTATGTAGCCCGGACGTATGAAGTGTGCGAAACGGTATTAGCGCGGTTTTCGGTTGTACTATATTATGTGTACACTAAGGTAGATGGGTTAAGACAGTATGACTGGATGGAAACACGGGGAAAAGGTAAGACGTAAAGAAGATGGTAACGATATGCTGCAGTCGATGAGGTTACGTCTTGTTAAACACTTGGTCATAGATGTACAAGGGTCCATCTGTGCCTTTTGTCTGTATACCGATACTTTGATAGCACCGTCACCGTTCTTTACTGGAATGATGTCAAGGAATAGAGTAGTGTCTTCCATTTCGTCCTCACAGGTGAATTTGTTGTTGTTGTTGCTGCTGCTGTTGCTGCTGTTGTTGTTGTACTAATATAAGTAGTTAAATCCTTTTGTCTGCTAGTGACTTGGTGACAGCATAACCAATGGAATCAGTGTAGTTCACTGTGGACCATTATGGGTTCCTTTTTTGTGGATCTGTACATTCTTGGAGTGTTTATAGCAGGTGTCTGTATTGTGATTCAGTGTTTTCGTTATCTTGCTCTAGCCTAGTGGAGATGACTACCACTATGACCAAGTGCTAAACGAAGCCAAATCGATTACAGTACATTGCTACTCTCTTTCGAACGTGTATTTTTAACCATCTCGTCACACTATTTCGTTCTTATAGTACAGTCGGAAAAGTCGGTCGATTCCGTATCATCTAGCACACTCTATACGTAAATTAATTGATCATAGTTAACATTATATCTTAGTTAACGCAAAAACGTTTATCTCTCACAGCAAAAAACTAAATCATTATTTCTGCAAATGTTTTCGCTGAATAATTTCTTTTAAAACGCAAACATCGTGCAGTACACATGCACTTATTAATTTTAGAAGTCTTGGGATTCCTTAAAACAATTGTAATTGCATTGCAGTATTCAAATTCCCAAGATACTGTTGCTTTATATAGAATCTGGTTTCAAACAATACTCATTCAACAGTAAGCATTACGTCATACATACTTGTAATGTTGCTGTCACCATGGCAACAAATTAAGCGTATTAAAATGGACGCAAGACAAGAAAGTCATAGCGTTATCTGTCGATGATAAATTTGTTGTTACATTTATATTTGTTTACATTTAGATTAAGATTAGACTCCTAACTCGGCGTCTAAACCAGAAAGGCGCTCATTATCAAACAGACACTGACGCAATTTATCGACAACACGTTATTTACAAAACGGCATTTAATTATATTTTGTGTGACAGTCACCGAGATACAAATCTCACTGGAATATAATTAATAATTGAGACAAACTTTTGATCGATATATGTCTATATATTTGATTGATGAGGCTTCGTAATGACATTAGGGAGTAAGAGATTTCTGATATAAAGTTTACGAGAAGAGCAATATAACATAGTATGCATAAGATCACACCGACTGGTAGATGATTTCGGCTGTGTAAATAATGTTTGATGAAGGCAGTCCTTGGTGCATATACTGATAGTTCGACAGATGAGAAGTTTTTTTCAATCTTGAATTTCGTGCAATCTGCACAAAAACAAGAATGAATCAATACATTACTATTTTCCATTTCATTTTTATGGATATTAATGCCTGACCGCGTTTGTCTTTAAAAATATATGAGTCATCAAATTTTGGCTGTTACATTAGATTTATAGTATTCATAATAGTTGCGTCTTATGTCAGTCTTAATTGGTATTAATATAAATGTGATCGTGTCTATAAATTTGATGTTAACTAAATGTTTTATTTATTTTCCCCGCATTTTTTTCAGATCTAGAATGTCAATGTCTTTCCAATATAACTGTCCATATTAAGACAAATATGTATAAAACTTCTCCATTATTTACTTGTGTTCAGCAAACTAGTTTACAAGATTCCATATACCTTAATGTGCTCAACAGTGTTCACGTAAAAATAAACAATACTAAATCCGATTTTTAGAACGTTTTCAGTGTTATCATCTCAACGCATATCAACAAGGTTTTTTTCATTTTTTAGTTTTTGTTTTGTTTTTTTCAATCGAACCACTTTTGCCCTTGTCACAAATCATATAAGTTATCATTATTTTTTGAACAACGTTGGATGCTTTGATGTATATGTTATAAACAATTTTATGGAATCTTGCATTTTATGAATGAGAGAGAAAAAAGTTCACACTTAGAGAAAAGAAAACACTGACCCTATGATGTGTATATTTTATTAACTTCACGCCATCTCTCAACAACATTTATTGGGATATACTTTTCTCGCATCAATTGAGTTTTCTGCAATGACAAACATATGGACAGAATTTGGAGGAAAATCATTTTCCTAAGAGAACGAAACATTAAGAAACCATATGTCTGGCTTTTCCCTTGACGTTTTAGTAATGACATTTAAAAGAACAGACTAAGATATAAAGAATTCAAAGCTACTATTTTCTTCAATACTTTACTTCAACATTATCACGAACCAGGTGTTCAAATTGGATTCCATAAAAACCTTAATTCAGCTGGATCTTTCCAATAAAGATTATTTTCGCCAGTCCACTAGATAAAAAAGATGTTTATATTTTGAGTTTTTTTCATCCCTTTTGTACAGGTTATGGTGACATCACGCCAAAGACAGCCGGAGGACGGGTCGCCACCATGTTCTACGCCATGATAGGTATACCTCTCACGCTTCTCTGCTTGGCAAACCTCGGCAATGTTATGGCGCAAACATTTCGCCAATTATTCTACAGAATGGAGTTTAAAATAGAAAATCTATATTCTTATTTGAAAAGCAGATACATTGCATCAAGAGAGAAGAGAAATGGACGCAATCCATTCAGTATGGTTTTAAGGCGTATTTCATGCAGAAAGAACAAACGCAGTAACTCAGAAATTGAGCTCGATGAAAGAGAACATGACTTGCACCGCGAAATGAAATGTGAGGTCTGTCAAGTTGTTTGCAATACCGAATTACCTTGTGAACACCTGAAAGCCCGAGTGGTGCCAGAATGTGGATTCAGTAAACATTCGGAAATATCTTCGGAATGCAGAAGGAGTGAACATGAACTGTCCCCTGATGATGAACACATGTCATGTAACATGGCTTGTAACTCTGATATTTATTGTGACGAGGGTAAAGACAAAAATCTTTCGAAGTCTATTGACAGCCTAGATGTTGACTTAACATGTCGATCTGCCGCGGGGTCTCAGCAATCACAACACAGGGAGGGGGAAACGAGCGATATTCCATTGATGGCGAAGCACAAAAAACAAAAAGAGGTCCATAAAGGGATGTCAGTGAAGCAGAAAAAGAAACTGCAGAGGGATGTACCAATATGGGTTTGTCTGATCGTAGTAATTGGTTATAACCTTTTAGGGAGTCTGTTATTTGGGCTATGGGAGAAAGGCTGGGGTTTTATTACTGGCTTTTATTTCTGTTTCATCACGTTGTCTACTATAGGTTTTGGTGACGTGGTACCAGGACATAACATTGAGTCGTGGCAAAGTCAGGAGAAGCGGTTCATATGTACTATATATCTCCTCGTCGGTATGGCAATGCTTGCAATGTGTTTTGATCTGATGCAAAGACAAATTCGGGAACGGGCAAGGCATTGTGCTATATGGGTGGGTCTTCTCGATGAAAATGAAAGTCAGAAAATAACAGCAGTGTAAAATATTTGTGTATTGTAATTTTTAAAAAAAAGTTGTCGGTTTTTTAGTGACGTTTTAAAATCATTTATGGAAGAACTCTTAGCAACAATTACAAAATTATAATATATACAATTATTGTTCATGTAAATAATGGTGTGTTTATACACCGTTTTCGTGTTTCATAAAGAAGAAACTTGGTTTTTTCATTAATTTGGTAAACAGGCATATCTTAGCTGTAATCTCATCTTAGCTTTTTTGCGCATAATTCATATCGCTTACAAGTTCTGTATGTTGTTTATTAGCAATAACCGGAGGTTGCGCCAATTTGCAATGCAAACAAAAAATCGTGTACGCGGAATTATATGTAACTGAGTTTACAAGCAGCCCCATGACAACGACAAAAGAGATATTAAAACATTCTTCCTACCGAAATGTTTAGATAAGTAAGAAAATCATGTAACTGAATCACATGGTTTCTAGTGTGTGATAATAAATTTTGCGGTCGATATGTATTTGACATGTACGGTGTAGTAGATCGATCAATTTCTATCGACAACTTTTTCGGTGGAAGTTGGAGATGTTCATATGTTGGACGTCAATCACTAACATAATTTGTTCTAAACATCAATTAAGTGGCCAAAGTTCCCAAAATCTTGATTACAATATCAGCATTTATTATGTAGCATGGAAAGGAACAACATAACGTTTTGAAAAGTACACTGTGGATATAACAGTAAATTGGTTTACGCAACATGGAGCCAACCGCGTATTGTTCTCTAGTTGCATGGTCTATTGCCATGTTGAATCGTTATTTTATTGTTTCTCATAATGTGCAACTGCCATTTTATTGTTCCTCCCGGTGTGGAACCACAATCAAATTTCCCTAGAAATATATAACCGGAAAATGGATTGTTCCTCAAATTGTGTATTTTCCTTACAATGCACAACCGCCATTGTATTGTTTCACACAGTGTAATGCCGATAATACTTTGTTTCATACATCAACTGGGCAACGGAGAACTTTGGTATTGTACTATACATTGGTAAGACGGCAGGGTAAAGTATTGTTTCAATACATGAGGAACCAACAGAGCAGTGTTCCAATCAATGTGACCAGTCGTCAAAACCAAATTTCAGGCTGTATGTTAATGATTCACAAGTAGCTATAGAAATGAGTGATAATTGGGGAAATTGAAATCAATAATAGTCATTGTTGTGTTGATGAGGATGCAATGCTGCACACAAAATCCATAGATATGCATGCCATTACAATGTTTACGTATTGTTCTGGAGAAATACACATGATATTATCGTTACAGTGTATCTATACTAATCACATTTGCCTTTATCAGTTAACACATAAATATTTATCAGTTATAACTATTTTCGATGCTAAACTTTCATGTGTACACAACATATGCATGAACATTTTTATTGTGTAGTGAACGAAACGATACACTAAGTTGTGGCTGAGGTTGCAGTGAATGGTAGACCGTGAGGCTGCCTGAATATATGCAGATTATTTTGTCATTTTGTACTGTAATCATGTTATCTTCGCGCGCTTCTATTTTCATGATATGTCTGAGGATTGATTGAAAGCAACTAATATTAAAATAGAATTAACAGAAATATCCGGAGACTGTTAAAGGACTCATGTGAAAAATATATATTTCTTGCTTTTTTGTGTCAAGTTTTATTTAAAACAAAGAAATTTTCAACTATTGAAAAAAGGTATGCAAGGGCATACCATGTTAATAAGTATTTTATGCATTAATAGAACTAGTTCATTTGCTTGCTATAATACCAGAATAAAGTTTTTGTTATCTTAAATATGTATATTCGTCATTTCTTTAAAATGCATGAACATGTTCTTGACATTGGTAATACTGTTTTTTAATTAAACACATCTCCTGATATTCTGATGGTTTCATAATAACGTTCCTTTGAAATACAGCAAAAGAATGCGTACCTTTGATATCATATAACGAAAACAAAACCAGGTGATTAGAAGGGGCAAGCGTCTTTTACTTCACTTATGGAACTAATATAGTCAAACTAAAGAATATCACGTTCTCAAAATGAGAACTGTAGACCTGGCAACGGTACAAATGGACAAGGTAATGAGCGTGGGGTACGTCGAGTGCAAGATATGCTTCTTTGGAGAAAGGTTATATATTTTTCCAAGTCAATTGCACAAATCATGATATGCTGAAAATTGAGGTTTTTTAATGTAAAACCAATTTTCATGATGTAATACTTACCATAACTTTAGTATGCAAATACAGTACCTACACCCATCTTTGTATCCCAACAACAAAAGATTCAAAAGAAAAACAATCCCGCCCTCCCTACGATCCATGAGCCATCACGGCAGGAACGCAGAGTGATCTCCCTTCCTCTAATAACCTTTATGGCGTAAACCCCACAGAGGGGCAGCCAGGCAGATAAGGAAGAGGGGAGGATAGGGTGGGACTCCATAAAGCTATGGTAAGTATTACATCATGAAAATTGGTTTTACATTAAAAAACCTCAATTTCATTTCAGTAATAATTACCATAACTTTAGTATGCGAATTCGTCTTACCGTAGTGGTGACTAGAAGCCAGGCAGCCCTTTCAGCACAACCAAAGTAGTAGGGAGGGAGAACAGAGTGCTAAAGTGAAGGAAGGGACCTCTCTGTGAAAGAGCAGGTGTACCCACATGCCGCCGTACGGAAAGACATGGCCCGGGGCTAACGAGGAGGCCCAGCCACTGACTATGCCACCACCAAAGGTCCCAATGAATACAGGCCTTCTGAGTGGGAAGCTAGGGATCACAGATAAAAATCTGTTAAGGTATCCCTGCCCTGCCAGAATACTGCAGACATGACCTCCTGAAAGGAGGACTCATTGAGAGAAGGGCCCAGGATGAAGCAAGGGCCCTTACCTCGTGAGACCGCGCTTTCGCTCTCGCCCGAGCCAGATCATCAAAATGCTCGTAAGCATACTAAATCACCTGGCAAACCCACCTGGAAACCGACTGGGAGGAGATATCTCGTTGCCCCTGTTTAATGGGCAAAACAGACGGGATCGAGAGCCAAGGGCTCCTCCACCAGAAACGACAAGAGCTCCTGAAACCAAGCTTGCCTCGGCCACAGAGGGGCTCTCAGAAGTAAGGAGCAGTGATGCTCCCAGAACTTCTGTAGAACCCTGCCCACCAGGTTGAAGGGAGGGAATGCATATGCATACGTCCCTTCCTATTCCAGAGAAAGGGCGTCCACAGCCCACGCCTTACGGTCTGGGACCGGGGAGAGGAAGGTTAGCAGCTGGTTGTTCAGGGAAGTGGCAAACAGGTCTATAATAGGTCTGTCCCACGCCTGACAATTCCCCTTGAAAATCAAGGGACACGGCTGCCATTCCGTCAACACCGGCTGGTGGCGCCTGGAGAGTGGCCACCAACACACTCTGCCTGCCAGAAAGATGCTTGACCGCTATGGTCAACTGCATGTCCTGGTAGAGAAGAAGGATGTGGATGGAGAGGGCACACAGGACATGAGACCTGGTGGCCCCTGTCTCTCCAGATACGCAACAACTGTTGTCGGTAGCCACACTTTGGACTGCAGGATACCCCTAAAGGACTGCAGAGCCAAATGAACAGTCTCATCTCGAGTACACTGATGTGCTCCGAGAGTTGTTCGCCAGACCACTCCCCCAAGCGGCATTGGCCATCGAGGTAAGCTCACATTCCTGTCATGAACGCGTCCATGAACAGGATCATAGAGGGGATAGGCTTGGTCAGAGGTACCCCGTGGAAAACGTTCTCCTGAATGGTCCACCAGCAAGAGAACTCCCTGACCGACTGGGTAAGCGGGATCCAGGCCTCCTGGATGACAGAACCCAGTCAGACAGGAGGAACATCTGGAGAGGTCCGATGTGAATCCTCCCTAGGGGGACCACATATGCCAAGGAGTTGAGATACCCCAGAAAACTGAGGAACCAATGTACCTGGACAAGCGACCAAGTGATGAAAGTCAGAGCCAGAGCCCTGACCTTCTCAAACTTCTCCAGAGGTGGAAAGGCTAAGCCCCGAACCATGTCAAAATGGTTCCCCAGGAAGAAGAAGTCCTAATATGAAGGAACCTCTGACTTCTCTCTGGAAGGAATGAAGCCGACTCTGAGCAAGAGTTTCAGGACCAGACGAGTGTCCTTCACTAACGATTCCCACACCAAAAGAGGCATGAGGGAGTCGTCGAAATAGATGTGGACGTCCATTCTGCGTGAGTGAAGGAAACACCATCAGCAACTTGGTGAACACCAAAGGAGCTGTCGTGAGCCCCAAGGGCATCTCTGCCTTGGCAGCATGGTCCCTACTTCCTCCTGGAGCACCCGTGCCCTTTCTGAATCCCCGGGAGGAGGAAAGAAACAAAAAACGGCCAGGAGGCGAGGGATGAATCCTGAAGAAGGGGAATACCTAGACCCTCCCTGACCACCGACAAAAGCCCAAGCGTCCTCTGTAATATCCTGCCACTGGGAAAGGAAAGCAGAGAGACGTCCGCCCACAGGGAGTTCCAGATGGGGCAGATCGAGCCCCTGCCAGACCAGAGAATCGTCTGCCCACCCGGAGCCTGAGCCTGCGGGAGAAGGACATGAGCCCGGGAAAGGAGAACCACCGTCCACCCGGCCATACCCTTCGCCTTTCGCGGCCAAGAAGCAGAAATAGTCAGGAACCCTTCTTCTTGCCCCCAGGAGGTTTCTTACCCTTCCTACCCTTCCCCTTGTTGCCGTTGAAGTGAGGTTGGGACTTGGGCTGTGCAGAAAACTGAGCAGCCGAAGACTTTGCCTTCTTCTTAGGAGGCACTGACCCCTGCGTGGCACTGGCCTTCTCAGCCTGAAACCTCTTCACCAGAAGTGCTGAGGCGACCGAGTCCTCCTTCATATCCTTCTGAACCCAAGGAAGAGCTCCCCTGAACAGGGTAGAGCCCTAGAAGGGGGCATTCAACAAGCGGAAACGGTAGGGTTACTGGACTGGGCGGAATTTCAGAACTGAAAACTGCCTAGCCAACACGGCATTGACGAG